CCTGTCAGAGTTCCTGTGAAGTAGAATTGATTATTACCTCATCTTGAAGGTACATGTGCGAGGTAATCATGAAGAAAAAAGATTTAACCTGGCTCTCAATTTGGGAGGTTTCATTCCTGATCACGTTGCGTCACTGGATGAGTCTCTGGCGAGGCAAACATCGTGGTAAGGGCACACCACAGAGTAAAATCACTTAGATCAAAAGCGGGGAGAGGGTGGGGCTGGGTAGCTAGAAGGTTCTTGGGAAAGGTGCATTCCATGTTAGCCTGGAGAGCCTGAGTTTGATTCTCAGAACCCATGTAAAGGTGGAAGGAGAAAAACGGGTTCCACAGAGTTGTCCTCTGACCTCTAAAAGTGCCCAGTGACCGTTCCTACTAACAATAAAATAAATAAATAATAAAACCCCAGGGAGCAAAGAGACAAAGAGGAAAGGGGATGGTCTCACAGCTCTTCTAGGGCATAGCTCTAATGACTTCAGCACCCCTTACTACGATTCCACCTGTTACAGAGTGTACAACCAGCACACAGCACCAGACTGGGGATGAAGCCTTTTACACAGGTTCTGTGGGGGGCGGGGCATTCATTATCCTAGCCAGAGCAATGAGGAAACTGATGCTGACAGAGGTTAACTAACTTGCCTGTTCTGTGGCAACACTGAGCTTAGCTCCCAGAGCTGCCTGACTCCAAAGCCATGGTATTTAATCCCCCAGGCTCTACAAATAACAACTGGTTATTTGTGTTAGAGTCTAGGTCACAGACCAGCAAGCCACACTTTAGAAGCCACATTTGTAGATTTCTCTTCATTTGCTAAGTACTCTCCAAGCTTGCTGCTCCATGCTGAACAGATAGATACACATTAACTGGTGGCTGTTGGCTGCTAAATATTTACTATGAAACACTGTGAATTTAATCTTCTGAAGATTCTTGAGAGAAAAACCTGATTAGGCTACACTTTGTATAAAGTGAGCTTTTACTAATCTTTTCTGTTTTATTACTACACTACTATTGTTATTTTTGTTCAGGGTCACATACAGACCGGGGTGGTCTCAAGCTCCCTCTGTAGCCAAGGACGACCCGGAACTTCTGATCTCCTGCCCCCAACTCCTAAGTGCTGGGTGCCACCTTGTCTGGTTTCTGTGGTGCTGAGGATCCTACCCAGATCTTCCTGCATGATGGACAGGCCTGTGGGCCCTTTGTGTACTTTTTCTGATTTTTATTTTTTGCCACAAACATGCAAGTAATTTATCATCATCATTATCATCATCATCATCATTATTATTATTATTATTTAGGAAAACTCATTATAGTCAAAGCTTATATAAGAGTCTCACGTTAATGATATAATCCCATTTTCTTCTTTACAGTCTATATATTCAAAAAGATTGTTGTGCAAGTCAGAGCTAATGGAATCGACTTGGGCACCTTCCTAAAGTACCCCCTCCTGCCCTTGTTGATGTCTTGTTTAGAGGCCTGGCCCTGTGCCTGGTCTGCACTTTGTCATGGTGTTGGGGTGGGGGTAGGGTTGCCTAGTGTCGTATTATAAATGATCCTCTGATTTGCCCAGCTGACTGGGTACTGTCCATCTCCTCTGTCAGCCCAGGACAGTAAATCTTTCCTAACCAGTGTCTCCCGCCCGTCTCCCACAGGCAGTGATGTCTCCAGCAACCAGGCCACCTGTGAATACCACTGAATCTCTTTGCATTCCAGTTCTTTTGCCCCAAATACCCCAGGGGCCTTGTATACCGATTGGCAGTCTTGGTGCTTTCAATTCTACTCAGAGTGGGAGTGATGCTTTCAGCTGTCCTGGTGAAAAGGGGCATTTTGTTGTCCTTCCCTCAGTTTCAACAGTGCTGGGTGTAAAATTCACTTAGGATTTTTTAGGGGGCAGGGCAGCTGATCTCACCTCTAAGTTGGTATAATGTAAGATCTGATTAAGAGGAAAGTGCTAATTAATTTAGTGGTGAAATATACAGGTTTGAAGCTGTTAGCCAGGAGTTGTAGTATAAGGTAAACAGTCGGGCCACTTGTCTCTTGTTACTCAGATCCCACTCTTATTTGTACTTCCACTTGCCTCGGACAGAGTTCAAGATCACGGCAGTGGAGTGTCTTCCAAACAAAGCTGTTTGGGTAATCACAGTTTTAGCAAAGGCAATCCCTCATGTCTGTAGAGTGTATTCTCCACTCTGTTGCCAGCATTGCCTCACTAAGTTACTAAGACAAGCTCTTAGCAGGTTGCCAGCCTGCTTAGAAACCTTTGATGAGTCTCCATTGCTTGTGTGATGAAGACCAAACTCCTGTGGTAGCATTTTAGGGACCTTTCCTTACTTAACCCGGCCTATGCTTCCTTTCCCTTCCTCCAGCCCCTGACTGGCAGGGCAGAGGCCATTTCTTGCCTTTGCTAGCTGATCTTCCAAGGCTGACCTCACCCACTCTGGGAGCTGACAAGGCCCTCCCTGGGCTGCGCCTGCAGAGAGCATCATTTATATTCTTCTTTAGTCTGACCAATAATCTATTTCAGTAGTTCCCCTTATTCTCTTTTACACCTTCTAGGGAACTGGTTCCAAGTCTATCTGAGCATCAGGGTCTCCAATATACTTTGATCAGCAAAATTAGTCTCAGAGTAGGGCCTGTGGTGATATATTGTTTGTGATTTACTAAAGCTTGCCTGGGGATCAGAATGCAAAGCTAGACACATTAGTTAGCCATAGAACCAGGCAATGGCGATACATACCTTTAATCCCAGGACTCAGGAGGCAGAAACAGATGGATCTCTGTGAGTCCAAGACCACCCTGGGCTACATGAGATTGAATCAATCTAAAAGAGAAACAGAGTCCATGCCTTTAATTCCAGCACTTGAGAGGTATATAAGGAAGAAGCAGGGGTCTCATGGGAGATTCAGTTTCCAGTCCCAATATCTATCTCTGGGTTGTTATCATTTATGCCACAAGAGCCCAAGAAATCTGTGGATTTAAAACAGTATTATGGGCAATTGGGACTGGTAGGCTTAGGACCACTGCTCTAGGGTAAGCCAGGAATTTTCCATGGGCCTAGACTGGTGACAGATAGAAGTGTAACATGAAAAAAAGTGGACTCAGAGACTGATAGTGGAGTACAAACCTCAAGCTGAAGTTCAGAAAAGCAAAGTAGCAGACCATTCACTGTGTGCGTGTGTGCATGTGTGTGTGTGTGTGTGTGTGTGTGTGTGTGTGTGTGTGGTGGGGTGGTGGTGGTGATGGTGGATGAAGTCTCCCTAACTCTTCCTGCCATGCACAGTGTTCTTGGCCATAACGAGGATTGTTTTTCAGAAGAAGCAGAGGGAAGCAGGCTACATTGACAAGTTATCCCCACAACTGTCTCAGAGTATCTTGGAATCAGCCTTTCATTCTCTCTGGCCACCTATGTGTCTTGGTGCCCAGAGTTCTACAGCCTATCTCCCTTTGCTCCCATCCAGCCTTGAGGAACCTCAGGCAAAGGAGCCCCAACCCATGCTGTTTGTAAATGTCATTTGTCTAGCAAGCTTGCTCAGACAGGAAGTTAAGTGAGGATGACTCAAAATTCCAGAATGTGTCTGGGGATACTGGTGCTTGCATAGAACTGACTAAGACAAATGTGAAAGGACTTGACAGAGGGCAGGCAATTTTGAGGTGAGCAAGGGTGAGGGTGAGCAGACTAAGACTGTTCAGCAGGATTCTACTTCCTCTGCATGTGCCTAAACAAAACAAGATCAAGCGAATGGAGAGAGAAGTAGGAGAAAGCGAGGGGGAGGAAAGGAAAACACGTGCGACTAGGAAGATTGAGCCCTGTTTGGAATAGAAGACAGGAGAAAGAGAGAGAGAGAGAGAGAGAGAGAGAGAGAGAGAGAGAGAGAGAGAGAGAGAGAGAGAGAGAGAGAGAGAGAGAGACAGACAGACAGACAGACAGAGACAGAGAGAGAGAACATAAAAGAGGGAGCCAATATTGGTTTGAAGATAAAATTGAACACAAAGAAAGGTCTAGAGAACTACAAGACTGCCGCCAACTAACAATTTGAGCTTCCTTGGAAAGGCTACCATAAATGCCCTTCCGGGATAGCGAGATCACCATCTAACTTATCCATGGAGCCCTCATCTAATACCTGTTGGAAACAGGAGCAAACACCCATACATAAACACTGAGTCGAACTAGAACCCAGATGCAGATGGAGAGGACAAGACCAGGGTGCAGAAATACATAGAGACAGCTGACCTGAACAAGGAGGAGTTAACGGGCCCCCAGACTGATAGCTGGGAAGCCAGCATGGGACTGACTCAGGCCCCCCTGAATATGGGTCTCAGCCAGAAGGACTGAGCAGTCTAAGTGACCTCAGACAGTGGAACCAGGATGTATCCCTGGTGCACAAAAAGACGTTGCAAACACATCTTTTGGAGGGATAACTGCCTTAACCTAGAGACAGGAGAGAAGCCCTAGTCCCTCCTTCACATGACCTGCCAGATCTACATGACCTCAACTGGATGGCATTCCCCTACATATGGAATTGGGGTGGGGGGATGGGAGGGGAGGGTGGTTAGGGTGCATGTGAGAGGGCAGAAAGGGTAAAAGTGAGGGAGGGAGAGGGAACTGGGATCTACATGTAAAATAATAAATTAAATAATAATAAAAAACCAAAAAGCCCAAATTTATAGGAAGAGAAAACTAACTCAAACCATATTGTCAAAATTTCAAAATCCATACTAGTTTTATTTCTTCAGGCTATGGCATCTCTGTATACACAAAAAAGGGAGAAAGAAGACAGAGATTTTGTGATCAATTTCTGGAGATGTGGGGAAGGTCATTGCCTCAAGCAAGCTCAGAGAAAGTATTTAGATTTCAAGATAAGGGTACAATGTAGAACCAGCTTGTACCACATGGATCTTTGAAACTTGGAGAGAGTACTAATGCAAAGAGCTTTTTACATCAAACAATCCAAGCATCCCACCCCTGTCCTCTGTGTGGAGAGGGTCTTGTTAGCACAGGGTGGGACTTACATATACGTCCTTTCTCAAATGGGAGAGCAAATAGGGGATGTTCTGTTTAGTAAGTCAGTATAACTAGATGGAAGTCTTTTCCCTCTTAGAAAAAGATGCCCTTGATGGCTTGCCAGAAACACTCAGTTCTCGGGGTTAGCCTGCTTTCCCTCATCTTCAGGATTGTCCAGCATCCTCAGCCTCTTCTCCAGCCTCTGCTTCCATTCTTCGCGAAGCCTGAGTAGGAGACATCACACATGCAGTTGGTTAGTGCACCTGATTCCATGTTTGCTGGTCCACTGATGTGTTTTTCATTTGCGTCTCATAAATATTGAATGACTGTATCATGTAAGACTCTTCCTCTCTCCCCCTCCCCTTCTCTTTCTTTCTTCTTTTCTGTCTTTGAGATCATTCTAGGCCTGCTTCCTCTAAGCAAGGTTGGTGTGTGATAACACTGTTAAGGATGTGGATGGAAAGTGTCAGGGTTCTTTTCTGGGTATGGAGAGAGGCTCTTCCTTGGGGGCTTAAAAAACTTTTAAAAAGTGATGCTGAAACCTGGATGTGGTGGCTCATGTCTGTAACCCCAGTGATGGGGGCATGGAGTCCAAAGGATAAGGAGTTCAAGGTCATACTCAGATACATAGCCAGTTTAAGGCCAACCTGGCCCACGTGAACGACTGCCCCATTGATGAGTCCATGCCTCAGTGGGACTGTTCCTATTTTAGGGGCAAAGAACCTAGACAGGCTCCGAGGAGCTGAGCTGTTCCTGCTCCTCAGCCATTTTTTAAAAAAAGTGATCCCTTTTCAGTAGATTCCCAGCTAAAACAAGAAATTCATTTGTTAATGAAAATAAGATGGCATTGTGTTCTCTGCAAACTCTTAATATGTATCCTTCCAGATACGGAAGGTTTTCTTGAACTAGTTTTTCATACAGACAGACCTGTCAAACTAACCCTGAAACTTAGTTTGGCCCTTGTATGCTGGGATTATAATTGTGAAGAGCTGAAGAAGGGATTTTACTTTATTCTTATTTATATTCATTTATTTTTGAGACAGGCTCTGTGTAATTCAGTCTGGCCTTGAATTCTCTAGGTAGCTGAGAATGATCTTGAATTTCTAATTTTCCACCTTTATACCCAAACTGCTAGAACTATGGCTTATATCAACACACACATCTCTTGAGTAAATAACTGTAGGAAACAGAAAATTTTAAATTAAAATTTATTATTGTTATTATTATTATTATTATTGTGTATGTGTGCCTGTGCACATGCATGTTGTGTGTATGTGTGGGTGCATCTGTCATGACATGTATGTGGAGGTCAGAAGAAAACTTCGTGGAATCAGTCCCTCCTTCCTGTTGGTTATGGGGATCAAACACAGGTCTTTAGGCTTATGCAGCATATGCCTTTACCTACTGAGCCATTTGGACAACCCAAACCTTGGGTTTTGTCTGTTTTGAAGAAAGAGTTATTGATATCTGTAAGCTATTGGCTCTCAGTAGGGGCCACTTTTCCCTCCAGTTACCTTTGCTACAATGTGGAATGGGAATCCTGATGATAGCTGATGTTTTGAGGCAAGAAATACTACTGAACACGTTACAAAGGGCAAAAAGCAGTTTTCTGGCTTTGTGCTAACAGCTGAGTGAGAAACAGGCCATAGATGCACCCAAGAAACTCCATAAAGACTGGCAATATTGTATTCGTGGGTCTGTTAACCTTGGTTTCTGACTTTCTATATTTTATGCTCTGACTTCTTTTTAAAAATGTCCTGGCTGGATAGAGACTGCCTCTCCCAGGATGAATTCCTCACCCTCTTTTTATAAGATAGGGTCTCATGGAGCCTAGGTGATGGCTTTGAATTTCTGAACCTACTGCTTCTACCTGCCCAGTGCTGGGATTACCGGTGTTTGCACCACACCTGTTTTGGTGCTGTGATCTGACCCAGGGCTTTGTGCATTTTAGATAAGCCCTCTAACAACTGAGTTGCATTCTTGTCCCAGCAAAAGGCTCAGCCAATCTCCAAACCATCTACCCCCAAGTCTGTAGCTTCAACTTTTCCCACATTTAACTTTCATACCTGCCACTATGCTCCCCTTCAGAAAGCATCCTAGAGCCAGTACTGGGGGATAGCCAGCCAGAAGCCCACTGGGATTGTTCAAACCAGCCAGTCTTGAACTGCCCTCTCTTTCTTGCTTTGGTATGGAAATCCCCCAGAGGATATGGTTTACACTTTCTTCCTGGCTCTTACGTTCTAATTAAAACCCACTCCTTCTTCGACATGCTGAGCAATGCCTGGAGATACCTCTCTCTGGGACTTGAGAGTTTGATACACTTTTTTCCCTCCATATCCTCTTCTTGCTTCCTCCCTCTGTAGTATAGAATCCATCACCAACCTTCTTATAACAATGAGAGATGAAAAAGAACCAGGCCCCTCTCCACAGCTGGCATAAAACCTGAGGACACCCAGGGCAGAAACGCCATCCACATACTTTCTCAGAGCACTTCTGCCCTGGCGATCTTCTTCAAGTTCTCGGTAAAATGTCTGTTTGCTAATTTCCTTTTCCCAGAAGCTTTTGAGCTCATCGCAGGTCTCGCAGCAGAAGACTTCTCTGCGCATGTACTGGCTGTTCATCCCTGCAACGCGAAAGACAAATCATAGCCCAGCACTGCGAGTAGTCGCACTCTGATTTGGGATGCGCTTGAATCCAGGTGAATTTAAATTCACAATTTTTCTGTCATCACACACTCGTGGAATGACTGTTTTTGCCACCGCAGATGAAGGTAATGATAGTCACATAAAAAAGTCTTCTGAAATCAGTTAAACAACGGAAAATATGTAGCCCTTGAAGGTAACCTTATTTTTTTTGTTGTCTTTTAGCCATTTTGCTATACTGTAAATTACAGAAAGATTATAGTAATATAGATGATTCCAAACCACAGAAATTAAAATAAATTTTATCTAATTGATATGCCTGTGAATGTCAATTTTTCATGTACTACAAACATCGATTTTTAAGTCAGTTGTAATTGTGTGTGTGGTGTGTGTGTGTGTATGTGGCTACACTTGCCCTGCTCACGAGGAGACTAGAGATCAACACTTGAGACAGGGGCTCTCACTGAACTGGGAGCTCATCGATTTGACTAAACTGCTGGTCAATATGTTCCTGGAATCTGTCTGTCTCTGTATTCTCCCATTGTGGGGACCCAGGTAACCTGGCTTTTACATGGGTGTTGCAGTATAAGAAAAGCAGTGCTAGAGAGAGAGAGAGAGAGGCCATGAGATAGGGTTCAAGCAGAGGAGTTTTTTTTTTTTTTAAATTAGGGATACTAGAAAGGGAAAATGGAGGGGGGAGACTGGCCTTCAAGGACAAGAGCTGCAAAGAGAGAGGAAAGAGGAGCAGAGGGGATGGTGGTGAAACAGAGAGAGAGAGAGAGAGAGAGAGAGAGAGAGAGAGAGGGAGAGAGAGAGAGAGAGAGAGAGAGAGAAGGATGGGAGGTGAGCAGGGCCCTTTTAAAAGGGAACTTGGGCTCTTAGTGGCTGCAGCTGAGGGTGCATCCTGTCAGAACCCCAAGGACAGGCCAGTACAGATGCCTCAATACTAACAATCTATAGTGCTAACCTTGAACTTTACCCTTGAGTGCAGTGGTTTGACTGTGTCAAACACTTGATCCTCAGTGGTTGGTGCTGTTTCGATAGGCTGTGGAATCTTTAGGAGGCAGAGAATTGCTGGAGGAAATGGGTCACTGAGCACTGTGGACCTTGGGACTCTACAGCCTGAACCACTTCCTGTCTGCTGTTCCTTGCTTACAAATGTGATGTGGTTAAGGGCCTAACACTCCTGTTACCGTGCTTCTCAGCACTATAGCTTGAAACCCCTGAACCTGAATAAACCATTCCTTCTTTAAGTTTCATACTGTCAGATACTTGGTTGTATTGAAAGGAAAGTGATACTCTTAGCTTGCCCCCTAAACCTTTCTTTTAGCCTCTCACTTTTCTACTGAGTCCTGTAGAGCTCTTTGTCTTATACCGCACCTGAACATGCAAATGCTATCTGAATTGGCCAAGCAGATCTCACTGCTTATCATTCCAGTAGTAGCTGGGAATGGAGATCTTCACCAAGTCTCTCCTAAACCATAAGGGGGCATGCGGGCATGGTTCTCCCTACAACTCCCATCCCCTGACTCACTTACCAACTCTGCAGGTTGTGTTCTGCCAGTAATATATACAAGGGAGCCAAGAATGAGGGCATTACTGGTCACTACCATGAGCTTTTTATACCCAGAGTCTCAGATTCAATATCCACAAGACAGAGTCTAATTGCTGTGACCCAGCTCGTGGTACTTCACACATGGATTGATATTTCATTCTTCAAGCGTGATATGCATGTTTGCAGGATGCTCACAGTCTATTGTTAACCACCTTGAACCACTCCCTACATACACTCTCATCAGCTTTGGTTTTATGTGATATCAAATGCTTCTCTCTTTGTCCTGACTCAGCTCATACTTAAGGTTTATTTATTTCTGTTGCTGGGCTATTAAGATTAGAAAACCTGAGATGACATGGATAAGAGGCTTCCCCTTTGTCCAAGGCCCAATGTTAGAGTCTGGACAGATGCCTTTAGCAAAGCTTCTGGTGCCATTTAGGATGTTACATTTGTGGCCTCTCTGTGATCAGGCAGAATATGGGTGATGCCGGGCATGCTGAAGAAGTGACTTATCTACTAAAAGCAATCGTTGTCATCACTCACAACTGCTTTCATCCCTTCCCAGTTATTCATAGCTGCTTGTTTTGCCGGGAGGTTGAAGCTCAGCTTTTGTCATTATGACAGCTTGTATACCATAAAGCACACTTTGATTTAGACCAGATCCTCTCTCTTGTTTCTCTCTCTTTTTAAAACTGTTTTATACTTACAGCTTCCATTTACTGTGCTGATTGTGAGCAGCACAATAGTGGCTGGCACTGGCAGCTTGGATTCACAAGAAATAGAATTGTGGACTGGGAATGTAGCTACATTGGTAGAGTGTTTACCTAGTTAGTACACACGAACCCCCGTGTTCAATCCCCAGTACCAAATGAACCACCTGGAATTCTGTCATGTGTGAAGGAGAGGCTAGGAGGTCATCCTTCACTGTAGAGTATAGAATGTCTGAAGTCAGCATGGGTTATTTGAGATCTTGTATCAAAAAGGAAGAAGAATTGATAGCAGTTTTAGGAAAACATAAATCTAAGGCAGGAAACCGGTCTCAAAAGGATTTTGTTTTCCCTAGGAAACTGATGAGCACCATCAGCTGTGGTTTGCTGTCTCTGGACCTACCTGGATACAGGCAGTGAAAATCATCAACCCTATACCTCATGCGTTCCCGTAGAAGTGGAAAGGCATTGCTTCACCCACCTGCTTTCTCTGGGGGCTTGGGAAGATGGGAAAGCTCCTGGGATCTCAGTGGCATGGATCAGCAGTGTTTCAATAGCTCAGAAACAAGAAACACAAAGTCATTTGTAGATGTGCAAACCTTCGGAGGCTGTCTCTCCTGTGCTACTGTGCTAAGATTAAGCTCTGACGTTTTACAAGAGGAATTTTCATTTTGCTCTTGTGAAACTGGCTTTAAAAAAATCCAACTTAAGGTCTTCTTTTTCCTACCTGAAAATTTCAGCTTGTTGATTGCATCCCTTGCTGCGTGCAGTTGGAAGGGAATGGCCTCCTAGCAAAGCCTGTGGGTTCCTTTGCGTCTCTTTGGCTTCTTCCAGGCCTTCACTTTTCTAAGAATGGAGGACAACTTCTTTGTCTTGAAACTCAGCTTAAATGTTTTGTTCTTTGCCCTACTGGCTTAAAATCCAGAGCAGCAAATTTGAATAAGTCTAGAGGCTAGAAGATCACATACATTCATTCTGGTTTTAAAGCACTATTACTGTGTATGAATGAGAGGGCAGGTGCATCACAGTTACACCACAGTGGAGGTCAGGGGACAACTTTGTGGAATTGGTTTTCTCCTTTTACATTTTTGTGGGCTCCAGGAATTGAATTAACACTTTTATCTGCTGATCCATCTTCTGGGCTTTTTTTTTTTTTTTTTTTTTTTTTTTTTGCTTTTTGTTTTGTATATGGTTCTCATGTTCACTTACAACTCTATTAAGTTCAGTGTATTTAAATTCTTGTTTCCTCATTAAAAAAATAAATCATGGTTATATGGAACTAATTTCTCCTCTTTAATATGACTGTAGGTTAGGCAGGCATGTAATCAGAGTGTTTGGAGGGTGGAGGCAAGAAGATTAAGAGTTTGAGGCTAGCCTGGACTACATGGGAGAGACACCTGTCTTAACTTCCAGGATTGCCTCAGTGTTAAATTTCTCCAATTAACAACTGAGCTGTGAGTATTAGAGAATGGCCATGTTCTTAGAAAGGACACATTGAAGTGTGTAGGGATGAAACGTCATGATGTATCACATTATTCTCAAAAGGGTCAGAAAAATATGTAAGGAGATAAAGTGTAAAATAAGATAGGCAATGGCAAATGTGTCTGGGCTTTTGGTCATGGAATTCTTTTTCTTCTCCTCCTCCTCTTCTTCTTTTTCTCCTCTCTCTCTCTCTCCCTCCATTCATGCTACAAAAGTACTAAAGCACTCTACTGCTTACTGGTATCTCTAGCCCTGATTTACTCTTATAATTTCTTGTAATCTTGAGATTAGTTGCATATGAAATGTTAAAGAAACATTTCTCTCAGGGCCGGCCTTCTGGATGACTGAGCTGGTAAAGGTGCCTACCATTAAGGTAGTAAACAGAGTTTAATCTCTAGGACCCACAGGTTGTAGGAGAGAACCGACTCTCATAAGTTTGCCTCTGATTTCCACATGCTATGGAGCATGCATGCACAAATCTCTCTCTCTTACACACACACACACTTATAAAAAATAAAAACCTTACTTTCGTATCCTTAAAAGAGAAATAGTGCAATTTCCATTTTCTTTCTCATTTAGTTCCCAGCCTCTTATGTAGACTGCAGCATCTATAAATCAATTGTGAATATACTTTCGATTTTAAGACTCTTTCTACTAAACATTTTATAGTGCCAAAAACATGGATAACTTCACAAAACAGTTTTGAGAAACTTGGAAAGACAAGAGGAGATTGTCATAGCCAAAATTAGAAGAATTGGAGCAACAAAACAAAACATTACACTCCAAATCAATATACATGATTATAAGTAAATGAAAGAGAAAGAGATTCCCAGTGAATAATGTAGAAGAAAAAGTAATAGAAAACCAGGAGAGCAGTCCTTCTGAGACACGGTGAGCTTGATAAAAGACAAAATGAGCAAATGAAACTTGAAGGAGAAAGAGTAGTGGCTTAGTCCCATGAACATGTCTCCAAGCTGACTTCTCCCAGTGGAGGCTTTAGAATGGGGGTTCTTGGTTTTTTAATAACAGCTGCTACATTTCTGTTCCTGTAGAGTCTGGGGGCATGTGATGACTGAAGGAAAATTAACTTCACAGAGTAGAAACAAGAAATATTTTATTCAATAAGTAAGGGTCACATCAAAGTAGTTGATTTCACAAAATTCAGCAGTAGGTTGTATTACCTCTTTAGTACACGCCGGAATCCAAAAGGCACAATCTGCCAGAATCCAAAAGGCACAATCTACTCATAGGAAAATCACACATCAGTTAGATTGAGCCAGATACTTGATGTCCTCCACTGGCCATCATACACATGAGTATCACACACACACACACACACACACACACACACACACACACACACACACACAGAGAGAGAGAGAGAGAGAGAGAGAGAGAGAGAGAGAGAGAGAGAGAGAGAGAGAGAGGAATGTAGTATCTATAAGGAAGGCATCTCAATGCTTTATGGTGCTCTTTAGTGAAATTAATCCTGACATTCCCTACTGTTCAGGGCCTGCTTTCTGAATAGATTGGACGTATCATTTTAATGACAGCAGAGGGATTCATCAGAACCCCAAGGGACCCAAGGGAGGCAAGAGTGGCTAAATGTAACAGACTGAGGAAACTGTTAGAAGGCAGAAGAAACAAAGTGATCTGACCCAGGGACAAGGCACTTAACACAATCCCTGGGGCTGCATAGGAGGACATGATACAGGGAAACAAAAATATGGACTTCCAGAAGTACTTGATGTCCCTCCCTGGCTCCAGAGACTATTTAGGGTACTTCCCTCTTCCCTTTGATGCTGTGGTGACCCCTGTGCCTGTGGAGGCATTTGAAAGCCATTGTAAGCTACAATTTATCCAATCTTCCTTGTTAAAATTTTCAGAATAGTTTCTGAAAGGTCTATGAAGTTCATAAAGATATCTTTAAGATCATTAAAAAGGTAAAATTTGCATGCACATGGTAATATATTTCAATAATTACTGAAGGTTATAAAGCCAATATAAAAGCCTTTCCTTCCTGTCTCCCTGCAGCTAGCAACATTGTGTAATGTAGCTCACTGTTGACAATTCCTTATTGGTATTTTCATTTTACTGAAAGTGTGTAGATGCATATATGAGTGTATTCTTCTCCCCATCCAAGGCCAATGTATACATGGGGTTTTGAATTTCTCACTTAAAGGGCTTATTTTCATGTTGATCCCATAGCTCTTAGCAAACTGTTCACAGATATACTGTAATATATTGACGAACATTTAACTAATTCCTGTTTGGGTCTATTACAACAAACAGACAAACAAGCAAACAACACCTGAGTTAGTGCTATGTTTTGTTCACATCCTCAGGTGTGGCTGAAGCATAAACTCCTGGAAGTATGATTACAGGTCAGAGTCATGAAATGTTTGCTATATAACTGTATTTCCCACTGCAGTTCTATATGAGCAATAAATTCTTTGTGGACTTGTGTAAGTCTCTTATATAGAGTTACTTCCATCTCTCCCTAGGGCAGAAAAACAAGGCTGTTCACCTATTTGTCCCTTAGTGGAAAGACAAAAGCATAAATCTTATATTCAGGAGAGTGTACCTGAATGCACCACTCCAACATGCCCAACATGGTTGTCACTCAAAACACAACTTGAGTGAATAAATAAATGCATTAGGCCAGACTCCTAGACAGGCAATCAAAATGTGTCATTATTTAATGCTGCATCCATAAAAAGGAACACGATCATTTGTATTAGTAAACACAGACTTTAACCAGCTTCATTACACATTCATGCTAATAGGAAAGACACAAAATCCGATTTAAGTAGAAAGGAATATTCAAAGTTCTAACAATAGCGTTCTAAATGGTGAAATGTAAACTCAATTTCTCTTATTTCTGAATGTAACACTTTAAGTACTTTAAGTAATAAAAGCAAAATGACCTATACTCACCTTATTGTTATCATTATGTTGTCCTCTCCCCTTTTTCCTTTTCTTTTTTAAGTGTTGGGGATCAAACCTAGAGGGTTTGGTGTCCTAGCAAGCTGTCTACCAAGTGAGCTACATTGTTAGTTTTTGAATACACATTTAAATACCTTTTATTTTGTAGGACTTATTAATCTATATTTTAAAAGAAAGATGTTTTCTTTTAAATTTTGGTAAAAGTACTTCTACCTCTTCATTATGAATTGAAGCATGTGTGTGTGTGTGTGTGTGTGTGTGTCCTGGGATCCTGAATTGAATAGTTAGGGAAATTGCCAGCATTAAGTTCTAGGGAGCAGACTGCACTGTGAAATTTGTGTGGACTTTAGGTTTCAGTTTTTTCACTTCCAAATCTGGCTGCCTTATATATGTGCGGAAAGGGTAAATAGAAACGGACCGGCTTTTAACAAAAGAGACTGGTTTTGTGTGAGTAAGTGGCTCCATTTCTCCCCACCTGCCCCCTGTAAAAGTGATTCTTGCCAATCTTTATATGTATGAGAAAATCATTTCTCTTTTGACTTAGTCTTTACTAATTCGGTTGGAAAAGTTTACTCTCACTTAGATTCTGTGTTTTGAAACTCGATCTCATGTAGCCTAGCTGGTCTCAAACTCAGTTTATAGAGAGAATGATCTTAAACGAATGAACTTCCCAAGTGCTAGGATTACAGATATGAGTTCCCCCAGCTAGGTTTCAACTGTCGGTTCTCAAATTAACTTTCCCTTAAGATTTCTACAACTCACTTCCAGCTTTACATTAAATAGCCACTTAATCAAGTAACATTTGCTGCAAGTTTGGAAGACTCATGCATTCCTATCTCTGTAATGAAGGAACATGCAATAGCCAACTGTAAAAACAGAAACAAACAAACACAATTTCTCCAGTTTAATTTTCCAAGTCCCAGGTTACTCAGTCAAGTAAAAACCTCAAATTAATTTTTAATCCTCCTATTCATTGGCTTCCTGAGGAGCTTGTGTGGACTGGTACCTCTAACAAATGTTTTTTTGGGACTAAGTTTATTTATCAATCAACACTAGGTATATCCCTTATTTTGGTTAATCGCAACAGAGCCTCATTCTATGAGATTGACACCAATTCTTGGCTTTTTCACACACTTGAACTTAAAACTCACATATTACTGACATTTAGGGAAAAGAAAACCAGAGATGTAACTGCCCCCCCCCCCACCAAAAAAATTATATATACCCTAAACACCTCAACTCTTCGAAGACATCTCAACTCCTACGGTAGGCTGTTCCCACAACCTGACAACAGCATAAACATCCTACCTTAAAGATGAATCACAGGTGAACTGATATCCTGTTAGGGTGCAAAGAAGGGCAAGTGTCCTGCCTGGTTCTGGCCTCCTCAGCTCTGCTTTGGGAAAGCCACAGGCACTATTCTGAAACTTCATTGTTGGGGCTTTTTATATATATGGGGAGGGACAGAAATCCCTCAGCCTTTCAAGGTCATTTGAGCCAAATTAGTAGGAATCAGGCATTGTCTCTCCAGGGACACTGTAGCCTTCCCTCATGGTGAGAGATGGTTCTAAAGAAATCCCATCTCCCTCCCCTGTCTGCCCCTGAGCAGGCCAGCTTCTGTTTTGGCAGTTTCTCATGAACGTTATGACTTGGCCTGAACCTAGAGAGGTGGTTTAGAACATGCACGGATTACCCATGTGCCCTATTGCTCTGTGACTTGTGAAAAGCCACCCTCTGCCTCTTAGTGTGCAAAGGGGATTGGAATGGTGGGACGAGCCACACTTGGGTATAATCTTACAGGAAGACTTAGTGAGGCATCTTGTTCTTTGGAGCCATTAATCCTTGAATAGAATCGGTGATGACATATCACGGCCTGCTAGTACTCTACCAGCTGGAGAAGGAATTGACCCCTGGAGAGTGTTTTCCAATCAAACGCATCCAAGTGAGATCGACTTCTCCTTTTAGAGTGGCTCTTGTCCCATCACGGAGGAGCACACTTTGTCCTTAGGAAAAATATTTGGAACAGTCACTGATATGGTCACAGAAATAGCTCTGGTTTTCATCAAATCCTTTGACTCTTCTGCTAATTGCAAACGCACTACATGGTTCAGTGGGCTATAAATCTGCAACTCACATTACATGTGACAATTCATCCAACATTGATATGCAGAATTTAGTTGGCTGAAGTGGTAATATGTAATGTTGTGCCTGGAAAAGTATCTTAGTAAGGCCACTTACTGTAAACTGGATGCCTAAGTTAATAACAGAAATAAGTTTTACAACATATTTTTTTAAATTATGAGAGAAAAGTTAGTTTAAAAATAGCTTTTCTGGAAACTGCCTGTAAAAAAGCAACAATTAAAAAACTCAATGAAAACATTTCCAATGGTATTCACTGAGACCAAATGAGATTCACAATAAAGTTTAGATGTATATCTTAAAACTTCAAATGAATGCTAATATTTTACATTTTTTATGTACATATTTCTATTTAAGAAAACACAGTGAAACTAAGTAGCAAACAGCAAATCACTTTAAGATAATGGCTTTCTTTGTCCTTTCCCTCTCCTCCTCTCTTCTCCCCTTCTCCCTTCCCCCCTCCCTCAACTCTTCTCTCTCCCCCTTTCTCCCCTCCACTCCTTATCCTTCTTTTCCTCTTCTTTCATTCTTCCTTTTCTTTATCATATGGTGCAAAAGTTCTGAAGACTGTGATTATATGTGCTGATATATTGTTTATTATCTATGGACCTGGAAACTGAACCTACAGCCCCAGATCACTCCACATTTTATCTATTATTTCATCAATGAACAGACTATTGAATGATTTCCACTTTCTTGGCTCTCGTGAGTCATGTGGCTATGAAATTTGTGTACAGGTTTTTGTGTGAACATCTGGCCTTGGTTCTGGCATGGCATGGTTTCATAAATCATGCTTTAGTGCCTACAGATACATCTGTTTATTTAGAATTGTCTGGAATGGAATTTAGTAGAGACTTGTCCTTTATAGAAAGCTTGCTATTTCTTTCATGAACCACCACACCAAGCTGCCAAGAGTGTGGAATTAAGACAAAGCACCTCTTGAGATTGTTAGAAACACATTCCACCTCCTCCCCTTGCTCAGCAGAGGTGTGTAAGTGCTCTATGTCTGTGCCTCCTGCCTATAATAGGCTGGTAGGTGTGGGGGTCGCCCGAGAGGAAAGCTTATAAAGGGTGTTCATACATAGAAATGGTCTACTTCAGAATTCACCACAATTTCCCCAAGGTGGAGGTGTGGTCTGCATGATTAGGAAGTAGTGGTCTCAGAATTAATGGTAACAACAGTCTCCCATTGAAAGGACATCCTAAGCTCAGACGGACTAGGTGAAAATGGCTTTGAAGGTAGGATCAGAGTCTTAGTTTAACTGGCTGAGGTAATGTTGGCTTCAGATTCAAACACATGAATCTTTTGAGCGGTGTCATCTGTCTTCAACCAAGTGTGAAAAGCAGAATGTGACTCAGAGCAGAACCATCCATAAGCAATTACATGTGAAAGGTGCTTATGTCCCTGTGCCACGTGCTGAGATGGGGTTAACACCTGCACAGTCTAGACATCTTGGCAGTGGTTATGTAATCAAAAAAACCATTTTTGAAAATTTTAGTTTTAGTGTGTGTGTGTGTGTGTGTGTGTGTGTGTATGTGTGTGTGCACGTGTGTACCTGTGCCTACATAGTCCTGGAACTTGGTATCTAGACCAGGCTAATTTCAAATTCACAGAGATCTGCCTGCATTTGCCTCCCAAGTACTGGGATTAAAGGTATGTGCCACTATACCCAGCTGTTTACCTTTAAAAAAACATTGTATTTTATTGACCTTTTAGAAAAGTTACAAGAAAATTACAGAGTTCCCATGAACCTTGGTCTTTATGACTGATCAAGAGTGTATGTTGTAGAGTTCTCTCATATTTTCCAAATGTCAAACATAGATGGGTCTTTTAAAATTGGATAGTGTTGATAGTGTTTATTTATATCATAGTATTGGCTGTTAAAGCAAATAACAATGAAACAATCAAGATCTAGTTGCATTTACCTGAACAGATGTACAATATACAAACATTGGACACTTACACACATATTGTGAGTATATATAAAATGGAGTGTTACATACTTCATTTGACATGGTGGTTTTATCAAAGTTGTTGGCAAACAGTGGTTTTAATTCTTTAAGGAAAAAGATTTATTTTATTGTTTATTTGGGTAGGTGTACATGTGTATGTACAGGTGCCCTTGGAGACTGGAAGAGGACCTCAGATCACCCAGAGCTCGAGTTACAGATGGTTGTGGACAGTTCATCTTGGGTACTTAGAACTGAACTCTGATCCACTAAAGGAGCAGCAAAAGCATTTTACCATTGACCCATCTTTCCAGCCCCTTTCATTCTTTTCTTTATTATTAGATGTATTGTTTCTTTTTTACTATCACTAGTTACAAAAACTGATAAAGAGAGAAAAACCGTTCACTGATTTGATCCTAGGACTAATTAAATTAAAAATCCAACCACATTAGTCTGTGAAAACAATGACTTTACAGGAATTTTAGAGAAGTCAGAGTGGGAACTTACAATTTTTGTTTATGTTTCACAACCCATAAGGCACATGAGGAAGACCAGGTAAATTAAATATTCCCCTAACCCATCAGCTTGAATTGAGTAGATAGTCAATCATCCTGTGCATCTTACTTAGGATTTCTATTGCTGTGAAGAGACACCATGACCATAGCAACTCTTATAAAGGAAAAATGTTTAATTGGGGTGGCTTACATTTTCAGAGGTTCAGAGTCCATTATTGAGGGGAGATGGTGGCATACCAGCAGGCATGGTGATGGCTACATCTTAATATGCAGGCAATAGCAAGTGGACTGAGACATTGGGAGTAGCTTGAACAAAAGAGACTTAAAAGCCAACATCCACAGCAATACACTTCCCCCAATAAGACCTACTCTACATTTTCTTTCAGACAAGCACACTGTGGTAAAAGGAGAGCTTTTTTTTTTCCCAGGTTGGACGTGTTAACTATTTGTGTGGTCATGAGACTAGTCTTAGTGCACTCTACTTCTTATCTCTTCTAGACCCCTTTTGTGACACTGTAGGAACTTGGGAGTCTGTATGAATCTACAAATTTTCCTGTAGTGCCAGAGAAAGCAGACTGCCCCTCTATTTGTCAAGGGCCGGTGGCTAGAGTCAGAGAGAAGCCTGGTTTTTCTTCCAGGCTTGGGCAGTGACTAAACTTAGAAAATGTCCCATCTATTCTTCTTGAGGGGGATGCGGGGGGGGGGGCTTTCTGGGCACACCAGCCTGACAGAGCTGCAGTGATGCTTCAGCACCCCAACTGGAGAGAGGCCCGTTGAGTCCAGAGAACCAAAGGAAGAGTGAGTGACATCTCCTTACTGCCCGTCAGCGGAAGGGAGTTGTTTATTCTAGGCTCAGCAGCACATGCAATAGAACCAGCTAACGTGACTGATGCACTGCCTGCCATTTTGTTGTTTGCAGTAGTACAAATAGTGTGGTGTTTGTAGGCTAAGGAATAAACTATCAAAGGAAAGAACAGTCTAGTCACAATAGAGGAGGTTCACAGGAAACAACAGCATTTCATGTCTATGCATAATGTCACCCTAACTTTAGCCCATATTTCTCATCTCATCAGTCTCCTAGACAAGGTGGAAGGCTGTGTGCTTGTTGTGAAAATACAACTTAGATCTATACCACGCTATTTTCTTCTAACGAGCTCCTAACCCCTTATCAAGTCTGACATAGAAATCATGACTCTGTCTGTACAGGGAACATATAACCAGCTTCCACAGCCTGAGGAGAACGTGTAAAGAAGCAGAGAGCACTCCCAAGGAGAACTAAGTACAGAAAATAAAAGGAAAAGCCTAAACTCAAAAAGCATAATTTTTGAAATAATCAAGATACCAGTCCATCTGTTAAAAAAACAGAGTAATTGAGATGCACCACGGCTTCATGAGCGACCTGTTCTCCTCTGCTGCCTGAATGGCACCAGCACCTTCCTCGAGAGCTCGCAGCAGCCGGCTGGCTCCTGCTCGGAAGGTGGTGATCAAAAATACAGACTTGCATTTTTGCAACAGGACTCGGTAGAGTGTGCTACTCAGGCGCTGGAGAAGTGCAACAAAGAAAAGGATATTGTGGCACATCAAGGAGTTTGACAAGAAGTACAACCCACCTGGCACACTGCATTGTGGGTAGGAACTTCGGTAGTCATGTGACAAGTGAAACCAAACAGTTCATCTACTTCTACCTGGCTCAGGTGGCCATTCTGTTCAAATCTGGTTAAAAGCATGGACTGTGCCAAACACCCAGTGATCCATCCAAAAACAAGGACTGCATCCTAAATTCCAAACACCAGAGACTGACTCTTAAGCCTCGCTAATGGAACACCTCGTTTGAATCTGTTGTGTTTTG